CAAAGAGGTTGCAGCTTGAAGCAGTTTTCCTAGTCCCGAGCTAATAGGGGGGAAGAAAGGGCAGGCGACACGGTTTACACGGGGCTAACTTCATTTAATCTAAGGGATTGAACTGAATTCTGAGAGGTGTCCTTCCTACTGCTAAGTTATCCTTTTCCTTTATGAAACGGTAACGGCAGTGGATGGTAATTGTTTCTTTTTTTTTTTTCTTGAATGTCTGGTTTTGGCAACATCCAAGGCCGGCAGCCCTATATCTGATTGGAAATCCTAACTGATCGTGGGCTCTCTGCGCCCCACTCTACAGGCCTGCAGGTCCGGGGCTTGCTCAGAGCTCCCTCACGGCCCACCTCCTTCAGGCCAGGCCTTTCTTTCTTTCTTTTTTATTTTTTTTTTAAGATTTTATTTATTTATTCATAAGAGACACAGAGAGAGAGGCAGAGCCACAGGCAGAGGGAGAAGCAGGCTCCATGCAGGGAGCCCGATGTAGGACTCGATTCCAGGACTCCAGGATCGCGCCCTGGGCCAACGGCAGGTGCTAAACCGCTGAGCCCCCCAGGGATCCCCCTGGCCAGGCCTTTCTTTCACTCAGTGTCACCTTTGCTGTGAGAAAGTATGAAGGACACTCAAAGGGCAGTGCCCAGCCTGCCTCCCACCGAGTTGGGAAGACGCCCTCGGTTACCCTGCCTGTGGGGAAAGGGGTCTCGGAGAGAGCGATGGGCCTGGGCTGGCCCGCCAGCCGAGCATGTGCAGAGGGAGGACTCTGGGCTTCCTGGCTTTGGGGAGCGAGGTCCCCCCATGAACCCTCATTTTCAAATCTCCCTCGGTCTGGACGGGGCCCGTTTCCCTGCTTCCCCACTTGTCTGCTTAGGGCAGAAAATCAAGCAGAGATCTTCCCACCACCCACCCTTGTCTTATCCCCTCCTTGTCCCATCTGTCCTAAAAGCCATGGTTTGTCCACCTTTTCCTTCTTTTGAGGGTTTTCTATGGCAGCCTGGAGACCCCTCTCTCCCGATTTGAAGAGATTCCAAGACAATCGGGGAGCCATTAAAAAATAAAATCAGGACCATGTGAGGGGAGCTAGTTCCTAGGAAACGAATGTTTTCAATTTCTTATAAATGGAGCTAATCCTTGGGTCATCTGTGCTCCTGAATCACCTGTTTATGGCTCCGTCTTCGTCCTTGGGGGGCTCTTTCTCCCTCCTCCACTGGCACCGGTGAGAGACGGCGACGGCATCCCTGGCAGCGTGGAGAGCACGAGAAAGAACCGGGGCCGAGGGGGGGGAGAAATCTAGCCGTGCTGGGATAAGCCCACAGCTGACCGGGGACGTTGGACACCGGGGCCAGCAGGCGCGGCGGCAGGACCGAGAGTCTCCGGCCCGCGAGGGGGCCAGACAGGAAACCATCCCCATCGCGTGGCGGGGAGCCAAGGCCCAGGGTGGCTGCAGGGGGGCGGTCGGACGCGACGCGGGACTCGTCGGAGGCCGAGGCGTGAGACTCGACACCTGCGCCCGAGCAAAGCGAAGATGCCTCTGCCCGCGGTGCTTGCAGAGGGGCTGGCTGCCCTCGGCCGCTGGACCGGCTACCGGACCATTGTCTGGAGAAAGGACCGTGCCCCCAAGGCCCGCTCGCACGACCGGGGCCACCTCCTTTGTGCTTCTCCAGATTCTTCTTGCTGGTCTAGGGTTGCATCCTGATCCTCCTGCCCCCAGAGCCCCGCCAGCCCCTCAGGGTACACTGCCCACCGCAGGCTGCGTCAGCCCCATTACCCCCAGAGGTGCCCCTCCCCGCACGCGGGGTCCAAACTCCCCTCCCCCCTGAGGCTCCCTCCTGCTCCCTCTCCGGGACCAACACCACCCACTTCCTCTGCCACCTCTGGCACAGGATACCAGGGCCTCAAGGGGGGCTTGATCCATGTGCTGCTTGGACAGCCCCCACCATTGAGGGGACTGGCCTCTAGAACGGGCAGGTGACAATGGGGCCACAGCCTCTGCCGGCAGCCTACAGTGGGGAGATCAGGGTTACACGGCAAGTGTGCCAGTGCCTGGGACACAGAGACATCAGGCTCCGGATGATGGAATATGATGGAAGTTCCAGCAGACGCCGGGCAGGGAGCCCGCAGGGTGGGAACGCACAGCAGCTGGGTGGGCAGAGGCACATGGTTCCCACACCGGCAGGCAGGGTGGTGACGGGAAAGAGCGTGGGCTTTGGAGAGACCGACCTCATGGAATCCTGGCTCCGTGGCCCTGGCTGTCGCAGGTCTCTGGCTCGGGAATAATAACACCCACCTCAGAGAGGTGGCACAGGTGGCATGTGCCGCTCAGGGAGAGTCGGGCCCACAGTGGGCGCTCCGCTCCATGGGCGGTTTCCCATCCCTCCCGGGCCCCGGTCTGGTGCTCTGGGGCTGCGGCCCCGGAAGGGCCGAGGGGGTGAGGCTTCATGGGTGGAGAGAAGGAGCCGTGATCAAGGCCGGGAGGCTCAGCCCCGTGGCAGGCCCCCCAGGCACCATAAGGAACCCTTTTTTATTCTCCTTGGCCTCCAGAGATGTCCTGAGAGGGCCAACCTCCACGTCTCTGGGCAGCTTGACCCCGGCAGCCCCCCCAGATGGGCTGGTGCTGTGCCTGGCAGCAGGGGCCCCTCCAGGGGTCCTTCAGTGGCCACGGTGGCGACCTGGAGTCAGAGTCCCATGAGGGGTTGGGGAGGGGTAATCCGTCCACCAGCTTGTGCTCAGGGCACGTGGTGTGCCAGGCACGAGAGTACAAAGGTGAGGACGGTCCAGACCCTCACCGGCTTTGGGGGAGGCGACAGAAAGGACCAATGAGGTGGGTTGGGGACTTCACTCATGTGCACCACGTTTTCCTCCATCCGTGTCCTTCCTGGGTGGCTCCTCCTGCCCGTGGGACCAGAAGCTTCCTGAGTGCAGGCTGTGATTTTGCTTTCTGCTTCTCCACCATAGCTGTGAGGGGAGGAAGGCAGCGCCAGGGCACAGATCCGGAGGGGGACTCGGGGCCCATCACGATGCTCTCATACACCTGCGACCGGCTCCCTTGCCCACCCCTCATGCCCTCTTGGTGCCCCAGAGCCCTGCCGCCCAGTCCCTCAGCACACGGCCGTTTCACCTGACTCGGGTCTAGCCTGTTAGGTGTAAGCTTCCTCAGTGCCCCGCGCCCACGTCCCTCTCAGAGCTCACCCCGCCATCCGCCTGCCCTGGCCCCATCTCCGCTCCCTCGTTCCAAGACCCTGCTACCTTTACTGGAGTTCGGGCCTCTTTCTCCACTGATTCCATTCTCACTAGAATTCCCTTGCTGCCTTTCGAAAGATCCCCGTGAAGGCCGGGGCCCCACCCCAGTAGACCGCCTTAGCTGGTTTGGAGTAAGTGGCTCGGACATCGGTGTTTTTTTTTTTAAGTTCCCAGGTTATTTTTGAGCTTGCGTGAAGAACCCCTGCTCTTGGCCACCATGATCAAATGACCACCTAGATTCGTGTGACCTCATGGCCACCCTACCTGGGAGTCATTGTCATTATTCTCTTTCCTCGGAGCTCTCTCTCGGGGGAGCCCTCCACGTCATCCGTCAACTCCTGCCTGGTCTGTAGCCCACAGCCAGCTGAGTCCCTCACTCTGGCACCTGCCAAGCTCGTAACTCGGATCTCCACCGAGATCGTGGTGCTCTCACTTTATCCCCACGGGAAGCTCCACTCAGCCTCCAGCACCTTGATCTGCTGCTCTAGAAAACAGACTCAAAACCCAGGACAACCCGGCCCACCCAGGAAACCCCGGAGAGCCCTGGGCACAAGGGGAGGTGGGAGGGTTCTTCACTTCCCCCCCACATCCGGGTGAGGAGCCAGCGGCATCTGAAGAAGCATCCTCCATCCCTCCACTCGAGAACCTAGTGCAGCTCTTCAAAGTCTCTCAACTGGAAAGTCTCTCTCCCGTTATCCCACCTCAGTTCTTACTGCTGCAAAGGTAGCAGAGGCAGCAGGTAGGATGTGGCTCTTTTTGCTCTTGGTTGGTCGCTACCCAATTCTGAACACACACACACACACTCACACAGGATGGAAGTAAACCCATGACTGAGTCTTGCACTGCTCACCCTCCTCCACCCACATGGTGGTGTTGACTTCCAGGTTGAGAGCCATGGGAGGCTCTAGCTGATGGCCACCTCCTGGGTGGCAGGGGTTTGAGCCTGGCCCTGTGACGTTGGCCCACGCCAAGCCAGCCCATCCATCCCTCTCTCCTCCAGCCCCTCTACCTTTCATCTTGTAAGATCCTCAGGCCCCCAAGGATTCCTGGCTGAGGCTTGCTGGCTCGTGCTGGTCGCTGGGAGACCTGCCTGTCTTCCCGCAGCCCTCCCCACCCCAGGCCGCATGGCTGTCTGGGACGGTGCCGTCTACACAGTCTCTGAAATTCACAGCCTGCCCTGACCCCCGACTCCCTTCACCCTGGTCCAGGCTTAGGCTCCAAGAGCTTGTTTCCTATCTTAGCATCCCAGCAGGCTCAGAGTGTGGGGTCCCCATCGTCTCTACCCTTCCTGGGTGACCCCCCAAAGGCCCAGGCCTCTGAGCAGTGAGGAAAGGGTTGAATAAACACAGACACCCGCCTACCACGCCCCCAGCTTCCCTCCAGGAAAGATCCAGCTCTTAGATGGAGGCCAGAGGGTCCCCGTCAGCATCAGGACCATTTCTATCAGTAGACACAGGTAATTCTTTGGTTGAAAGCCACAAACCGTGCTGCATGCACACCGCACCCTTCCTGTGTTCCTCCTTTCTTCTCTCCCACCTCCCCTTCCTCCCTCCTCCCAAACTCCGTCGGCCCACGCCTCATGCTTCATTGCCCTGCAGGGTCCGCACTGCCCAGCCCCCGGGCCACCGTGCTCTGAGAGCTGCTTCTTCGGCTCTACAGCAGGCTGCAGGGCAAGGCGCAGCGCACCCGGTGTGTGTGTCTGCGTGTGCCTGGGTGGTGCACTGAGTAGGTGTCCCCACCTTGACCACTCCGAGACCAAGCTGTCAGATCGTGCTGTTTATTGAGGATGCAATGGGGGGGCCTCTAAGAAGAAAGGAGATGTGGAGGGGCCTCCTCTTCTCTGCTTCTGGATACAGGAGAGCAAGAGAGACCTGAGTCGTACTTGGTCCTACTCGGAATGAGCCATGAGACGGGGCCAGGGTGGCGTGGGGACCGGCCTCCCTTGGCTGGTGCCCTTCGGTCCTCCTTTTCTTGAACACAGAACCAGCTCCCAGCTTAGGCAGTCGCTGGGGCAGAGGCCCCAGTGTGAGAGCGGGGCCTCGGTCTGTGACCCGGGGAGCCAGACTGTAGTTGGTGATGGAGCCGGAGGCTGCGCGGAGGACGGAAGGCCGGGAGCTGAGCTGAGCCCACGGCCTGGCTGGGGGGACCTTAGCCAAGGAGGCGGACGCCAGGCAGGCGCCAGGAGGAATTTTGCCAGGTAGGGCCATCCACACCTGTCCAGGCTCAGGGAGACGCAGGCTGGGGGAAGTAGGGTGGCCGGAGGGACAAGAGCAGGGCAGGGTGGAGAGGGGCTGACGGGGACGGGAGAGCGCGCATGGGACACAGCTGGGGACGCTGCGGCGGCGGTGGCGTGGCAGCGTCTCTACCTGCCGGCCTTCTTGGAGGAGGTGCTCTGGCTGGAGCCCTTCCCCAGGGTATCCCTGTAGTCGCTGCCGCTGCCCCTGCCCCGGCTGTCCCCGCCGCGGACGCTGCACACGCCGGAGATGCAGCTGCCGCTGCTGGCCACGTAGCCGCCGCTCACGGAGCTGGGCCTGAAGCCGTAGCCGCCGCTGCCGCTCGTGCTGCTGATGATGGCTGCGGAGGGACAGCGGGTGGCATCCTCAGCCGGGCACGGGAGGCTCTTCGGTCTGGCCACTCCTCCCCCTCCCCCGAGTGGGGGTAAATCCCAAAGATCGCTTCCCCCAGTCCTGCCCTTGCCTGGCCCAGCTTAGCCCCATCTGGCCGATTCTTAATTCTCAGAAGCCCCTCGCGTTGGTCCAGGAACCAGAGCACCAACCTGCCATTCCAGGGACCGCCTCGCTTCTCTTAGCCTTTTTGGTAAACTTCCCAGCCTCCAACCTGTCCTCCCCTTCTTGCTAGCTGTCCTGCCATCACGGATTCCTTCCCGGCCTCTAATTCCCCAGCCCAGACTTGCAGCCAGGTGGGGAGGGGGCGGTGCTCAAGCCTCCCACACTTGCATCCTTTGTTTCCCCTTCCCAGTAGCCACAGACTTCCCAGCTGCCTCCGAGCACTGGAGCAGGGAGACAGGGATGGGGAGGGAGCGGCTCTGGGCTGGGAGTCGCCTGCTCGTTGGCCGTGCCTCTGCTATCTGGCTGTGTGACCTCAAAGTTTGTTGCTCTCTGCTCCTTAGTTTGCTCAGCTACGCACAGCACACGGGGTGCAACTAAGGCCCTTTCCGACCCGCAGATTCTACAGTCTTAGGTCCAAGCACACAAGTACTTACAGATGCTGACAGGGGAGGGAAATTCTCCTGACATCCTGTTTGGGAAAGAAAGAAAATGAGAGTGAGCAGTCACCCAACCCACAACCTATTCACCTCAAAGCTAGTGTCCCCACGGGCCTGATGTGGGTTTCTGAACCCAATGGGCCGCTATGGAAATTCCAGGGCTTCTTTGGCACAAGCAGAGCTTGAGAAGCTGTGGCTGCTGCCCCTGGGGTGACCAGGCAACAGTCCAAGTCACAGTAGTGGGCACGAGGCACACGCGCGGGGCGGCATGCACGCTTCCCAAGGCCAGGCCCGGGCACTGAGTCGTTCTCATCTGCTGAGAACATTGGGGAAGCTGGAAAGGTTGCCCTGGAACATCTGTGACAAGCTCACCTTGTACCTGGATAGGTAAGGAAGTCGGAACAGAAGACCTCACGTAGTAATGGGGTGGACAGTATGCGTAGGTATATCCAGGGAACTCAAGGGTGGATGGGCTGATCCCCAAGGCACAGTGCCTGGCATACAGGGAGCGCTCGTGCCCGGGACGGATTCTGAATTACTGTTGATGTATTCCCATCATCACCCAAGGACGCCCTTTTCTGGAGGAGACCCTGCTAAGCTTTCTCCTTTTGTCCTTCTCAAACCCCTGGGGCTCTCCTGCAGAGCACACCCCCAGCCCCCCACCTGCACTCTTCGCTCTCCAGCAGCTTGCGGTAGGTGGCGATCTCCATGTCCAGGGCCAGCTTCAGGCTCAGGAGCTCCTGGTACTCGCGCAGCATCCGGGCCAGCTCCTCCTTGGCCTGGTGCAGGGCGGCCTCCAGCTCGTCCAGCTTGGCCCGGGCGTCCTTCAGGGCATTGTCACCCCGCTGCTCGGCGTCGGCGATGGCCGTCTCCAGGTTGGAAGCCTGCACAGGGAATCAGAGAAGCTGGAAAACTGGAAGGGGGGATTAGAGTCCCCCACATCCAAATCCTACTAGTGCTTGGGGACTCCTGGGCAGAGATGCCCACCTCCTCCCTTCACACCTCCTGCCCGTCTTCTAGGCCGGAGCCCCCTCTGGGGCCGGCAAGTCCTTCCTAGCTCTATGTCTCTCCGCTTGCTTCTGTTTAGGCATTGGTGGTGATAAGAAATAGTCGCCCTCCTTCCTGTGACCTTAGCCACTTCAGTACCTCGTCGGTTCATTACAAAGACATTTACTTGGCCACCTACGTACCAAGGGTGTCGAATAAGAGGAAGATTGGCTTTCTGCTCTTGAGTTGTTTACAGTCTGGGAAGAGAGTTCCTTGGAATATGGTGTTGCAAGTGCAAGGACAGGGGCTGCGCAGGTGCATAGGGCCAGAGACGAGGGGCACAGGGAAGGAGTCTCCAGAACCAACTATTATTTCCCAAGTGCTCACTGTATGCCTGGCACTACCCTCAGCCCTTACACGCCTTTTGCATACCTTCACTCATGCTGTCCTTACACCACCCTGTGCAGAGAGGACGACCAACTTACCCCACGTCCTGGAGTCACTAAGTATTAAGGCCCATGGGAAGATGGAGAGAGCACTGGACTAGGAGTCAGAGTGGGTTCCCATCACAGCTCTGACACTCACCAGCTTGCAACCCACTGAACCTGTCTGAGCCTCAGTGTCCTCATCTGTAACGATGGGGAGCGCTTGCCTCATGGAGTCTTTGAGACGCTTCAGCATGATAAAGCGATAGGAGGCGCTGCCATGGTTATCCTATAACCACATCCTGTCTCCCCACCTACTCAAGCTGAGACTGCAGCCTAGAGTCCCGGGAGGGGTCTGAGCAAGGCCTTAATGAATAGGCACAGAAGGTGCTTTAATAGGCGCTCTCTGAGCCCTCTTATCAGTGTTTTCATCAACATACGTTTATTAAGCTGCTACTATGTGCCAGGCACTGTACCAGACCTTGGGAAAGCAATGGGGAGCAAAGCAGCCAGCTCTCTGCCTTCCTCCAGTCCAGTGGGAAAAGGGACAGGCTGGCGTTGGGGAATCACCAAGTGGGACAAGGACAGGATAAGCAGAGGCTCCAGGGAGCACGTGATAGGGGCAGAGGGAATGGGGGGAAGTGGTCCTAGCCCATACTGGGGAATGAGAGAGAAGACTTCCCACAGGAGGGGCTTCAAAGCAGAGGTCCTTGGGGTGAGTGGGAGATGAGATGCCCCAGGGATGTCTGCTCCAAGGATTTGAGACAGTGACCTCATTGGCTCCTTTCCTCTTGTGGGCAGAGATTTGAGAGGCTGATGTCCTTGGCCAACTCATTTCCCCTCCAATTATGCCCTCCTGCCCCAGGCCATGGGCAACCGGTCCCCTCACCTGCTTCTTCACATTCTCAATCTCTGAGCGGATTCTCTGGATGAGCCGGGTGAGCTCCGAGATCTCGTTCTTGGTGTTTTTGAGGTCATCCCCATGCCGGCCGGCTGCTAGCTGCAGCTCCTGGAACTGGGGAGCCCAAAGCACAGAGCCAGGGGTGAGCATGAGGAGCGTGCCATGGGACCACATGATGTCTCGGGATTGGTGATGTCCCAGGGGAAGGGCATGGTGGATGCTTAAGTGGACACAGCCTCTGTTCTGGGAATGATCAGACCTAGCCCTCATGCCTGCTGGGGATGCCCTCTTTGGTCCTGCCTCAGCCCAGCTCACCTTGGTCTGGTACAGCGCCTCGGCCTCGGCCTTGCTCTTCAGGGCGATCTCCTCGTACTGGGCGCGGACCTCGTCGATGATGCTGTCCAGGTTCAGGTCCCGGTTGTTGTCCATGGACAGGATGACGGACATATCGCTGATGTGGGACTGGATCTGAGCGATCTCCTACATGGGGACCAGGGCTGGTCTCAGGACTTGACTATCAGAGCCCAACACCCCCCCTTCACCCGTCTCCCAAGCAACATAAACAAATCTGGGTGCTGTTGACTTAGAGGCTCTGGACCAAGGCTGCTGCTCCCCGGGCAAGATGAGTTTCCTCCAGCCCCAGATGGATTCCTACCACTGTGAAGCCAGGACCCGGACCATTTCCTTTCCACCCAGAGGGTGGAGGTTAGGAGCCTCTCGGGGCTGAAATGGGAGATGAGTGCCTAACAGGGGGACCTCCCTGAGAGCGGAGAGCCTCTCCCAACCCCGAGAACAGTTTTACCCACTGGCTGCCCTTGGGGGCGGGGGGTAGACATAGACTTACAGCTTCATAGAGACACTTGAAGAATTTGATCTCCTGGTCCATGGAGTCCACTTTGGCCTGCAGCTCCACCTTATTGGCATAAGCCGCATCCACATCCTGAAAGATGCCCCCGACGTCCCTCAGTCACTGCCCGTGCAGCCGAGAAGGAAGCACCCACCCAGCCCGGGTGCCTTGCACACACAGAAAAGCTGCCCTTTTCTCTCTGGGAGGCTCATGGGAAAGGAGAGGGTGGAGCAAAAGGCCCAGCCCCACCCCGTCCTGAGAATCGGCTCCCTCAGCAGGGATAGGGCACCCCCCTAAGGAAGGGAGCCCCAGCCAGGCCGCCACCAGCCGTCCCTCTGACGTCTGAGTCAGGCCCTGTGGCCGCAGGGGAGGCCCTGTGTGTCGTCCTCTGCCGTTCTTCACTGTGGACAAACCCCGTCCACATGAAACGCTCAGGAAGGCCATCGAACTCTCTCTGCCTTCTCATTCCCTCTCTGGAAAGTCCATCGTGGTTTTCCTCGGCCTTCACGCCACTAGTTTGGAACTGGCTCTCTCGCCACGAGCAGAGCCCCCGGGTAGGCTCGGCTCCCCCTGGTCCCAGGCGGCCCTGGACTCAAGGCCTGCCTTCCTCCTCACCTTCTTGAGCAGCACAAACTCATTCTCTGCAGCCGTCCTCCTGTTGATTTCTTCCTCGTACCTGCCAAAATGCCAGGGCTCGGTCGGTGACTACGTCTCACTTAGAACCTTCTCGCTGAGGACCCTCTTTCACTCAAGGAAGGCTCTACACAAGAGGCAGTGTGCCCGTTTGAGGGACAGAGGCTAATGGGCCACAGAGTACTGGGCTGGTGGGGCCACCAGGCAAGGAAGGCTTTGTGGAGCAGGGGACATGGAGACTGAGTTTGGAGTTAAAAAAAAAAAAGGTGGAGGTGGTTATTGAAAATGAAGTAGGAGCATGTGGAGCCAACGTTCTATGGGAAATCTCATAGGTAGCAAGAACCAAGCTCCTCCTTGGAAACTTGACTACAGCCTTACAGACGAGCGGGAGTGTTTCCTTAGTTACTCCTCATAGCCCTTCTGGGAGGTGGACGGGTTTAAGCCTCCTTTTACCAAGGAGAACCCAGAAGCTCTAGGAGATTGAGTAGCTTACCCAAGGTTTCCCTCATCCAGCCAGATGTAGTCCTTTGACCACTGTCCAGCTAAATGAGCATTTGTCCTAAGTGCCAGACCAGAGGCTGGAGGTGCAGAGAGCAAGTTCCAGAGTTTTGTTGGAATAATCCTGCTTGGTATGACAAGGGACACTGCCGCTCGTCTCCAAAAACCTCAAGCCGAGGTAGCTGCCACTCCTGCAGAAGGAGCTCAGAGGGAAAGGGGCAGTTGCCCGGCTGCGGGGAGACCCCTTCCCCGCTCACCTCTTCTTGTAGTCCTCCACCACATCCCGCACGCTCCTCAGCTCCGAGTCCAGCCGCACCCTGTCCCCGGACAGCGTCTCCAGCTGCTTCCGCAGGTTGCTGATGTAGCCCTCGAGGATGGGCTCCAGGTTGTTCTTGCAGTTGTTCAGATCCAGCTGCTGCAGCAGCTCCCACTTGGTCTCCAGCACCTGGTTCTGCTGCTCCAGGAACCGCACCTGGGACCCAAAGTGCAGAAACTGTTGAGCCCCGAGGACGCAGTCATACCCGTCATCCAAAGGCTCCGTGCAAAGCGCTCTGCCTGCATTTTCTCCTTTGCCCCTCACAACGGCTGCATGAGGCGGGCAGGCCAGTAACCCCATTTAATGGAAGGGAAACTGAGCCATAGAGAAGTTCGGCCTCTTTCCAAGGTCCAACGGTTTGATAAGTGGGAGGGAGCCCGGAGCTGAACCCAGACATGTGGCCCCAGAACTCATGTATCCTGTCATTCAGAACCCAATGTGGCCAACCCAGCGCAGGGCAGGGCTGAACCTAAAAACTACCAGGACGGAGACAGGCTGGGTCCATTTTTGGAAAATCTGACCATTCTGAAGTAGGGAATCTGGTCTTCATTTTATAGCATATCAAGCTCAGTGAGGCTCAATGGGCCAAGACTTTCCAGGCATTCTAGATTTCTGCATCAGGCTCCAACTCCATCATTGCCCGTGGCCTCCTCCCTCTGCCCTAACTCTGCTCCTCAGAACCATCTTCCGTGGAGCAAGCATGACACGTGGGGCAACGTGGATAGACAATGCTCCCTGGGCCCCTGTCGCCTCCCTGGGCCAGGAGACCGACCAGAGGCAGTGGATCCACATACTCTTCTCTTGTGTGCTGCGTCGGGGGGAGGCGCGCAAATTTTTTTTAAAAATGACTTAATCCAGGTGAGCACAGCCACTGTCTAAATAAGGTTGTCTTCCCTGTTGTCATAAGCACAGGGCCTCAGAAAACTGGCTGGGACTCAGCGTTGAGATGGGATCAGCCCCCAAACTGCCTGCCCCCCCAGCAGATCCTCCAGCATTGGTTTGGCTTGACTAATCCTGACTCTTTCACGTATACCCCTGAGACTGAGCGTTTAGCGCAGAGTAAACCCTCCACCCAGGACCCCGCACGCTGGACAATCGGGATCACTGAGAATGTCATGTGCCCACATGGCCCTGCGGTCCCCGGGACTGGGCCTCACCTTCCATCCCTCCACCCACCACCCCCAGATGCTGTTCCCTGGCAAGGCATGTACCTCAGTGCCTCTGCTGACTCACCGAACGGGAGTAATAATTTCTCATCTACCAAAAGTCCGAGGCCTATCTGGACTGGATGATGCCTCGAGGCCTCTTCCAGACCTCAGGTTCCTCCCCTTCTCGACACTCCTCCCCCACTTGTCCGAAGATGAAAATGATAGTGACAATAACCAGCACTTGGGAGCACTCAGCATGCGGGAGGCACTGTGCCAACATCTTCACATGCATTTTCTTTCCCAAACCTGACAAAAACCCCAAGGGGTAGGCTATTATCTGCATTACAGAGATAAGGAAGGAGAGGCGCAGGCAGGATAAACAACCCTCCCCACAGCCGGCTCTGCGGCTGGCTCAGCCAAGACATAGCCGGTAAGTGATGGGGACAGAGCGGAAGCCAGGTCTGACGTCAGAGCTCTGTGGGGACACCCCCCCCCCCCACTGCCCTCGTCGGCCTCTCGAGGGGCCCATGTGGGAATGACCACAAAGGGATGCTCCTGATCCATCCAGTCAAATGACTAGTGGATGAGACCCGCTCCCAATGGGTGGGAGGAAGACTCTGGGTCAGGTTCCCTCGCACTGGCTCTTCCCACACGTGAGCTGCAAGGGCCCGAGGCTCAGCAATGGCACCAAGCCGACCCTCCAGTAAGAAGCGGGGGCCTTTCCTCTGGAGCTCCTGCCAGGAACCCCACCACCACCCCCACACGCCCCTGCCAGTAGAGACAGCCTCGTTCTGTCTTCTCCCAGGAAAGTCTGCAGGGAATCTCACACAAATCACCCCGATGAAAGAAGACACCTGCTTCGTCCACGTTACGTGCCTCCTCATGTCTGACCTGAATCCCTTTTGCTGTCACAACAGCTCAGGCTCTAAGAAGAGAAGGGAAGGTCGTCCCACCTTGTCGATGAAGGAGGCGAACTTGTTGTTCAGCGCCTTGATCTGCTCCCGCTCCTGGGCTCTCACTTTCTGGATCTCGGGGTCCAGCTCCACGTTGAGGGGGGCCAGGAGGCTCTCGTTGACGGTGACCTGATGGATGCCCCCCGGAGGGCACACGGACGGGCACACGGGCCCCAGGGCCACGCTGCCAAACATGCTCCCAGCAAAGCCACTGGCCCGGCCTCGACCAAACCCATAACCTCCGCTTTTCCCGCTGCTGCTGGCCACATTAAAGGAGATGTTCCGGATGCCCCCCAGGCTGTAGAGGCTCCGGCTCCCAAAGCCTCCGCTGAGCCCTTTGCCCCCTGCCCGGTAGGAGGATGAGCTGCCCCCGGAGAGCACAGCCGAGCAGCCGCTGAAGCCCCCCTTGGAGGCAGCTCCCGACTTGCAGGTGAATTGGCGGCTCATGCTGGTGGTGGAGATGGAGTTCAGATGCTGGAGGGACGGAGGCCAAATCCTACCCGGGCTCTGCAGGTTGCAGTGAGGACTGGCAGGCACCCTTCCTTATATGTGCTTGGCACTGGGGCTCGTGGACGGGCAGTCAAGAGCTTAATTCATGGGTTTGGCTTGCCTGGGAGCAAGAAGTCATTTTCTCTATGCTGAGCTAGAGATCAAGCCCTCCCCACCTCTGAAACAACATGAAACCTTCAAATTGCTGGGCTTGCAAGCCTTGCTCATGTAATTTGGGTTTTATCTAATTAACCTGCTGTTATCGGGTAATTTGCCCCAGGCCCCAGCCTCTCCAGGGGGATGTCACTGGCACTTCACCATCCCTATCCTGCTTAGTCTTCTCTGGGTCACAGGCTGCCTCCCGGGGGCGCAGGGAGCTAGAAGGGTATGGACTGCGCTGGACAGGGGGGGCCGCTGCGTAGAGTATCCAGGGGCTCGAACCCACAGCTGTGTCCTCCTCCTTCCCGGAAAGAGCCCCTTCGTTTGGGCCTCCCGAGGCACCCCGCGCCCTGCCCCGTGGCCTCTTCCCCTAATCCACAGCGGCTCTGCCTCCTGGGTGTGAGGGGTGGAGGGTGACCCTCTCCCTGGCATGGGGCGGGAGCGCGGCGGCGGGGTCGCCACGTGCTTCCGATGGTTCCGCGGGAACTGGCCCCCCGCACGTGTCACCCCTCCCAGAGCCCTGCCAGGCAGGCTGCAGGCTGCACCAGACACGGTCGCTGGGCGGCCGGCGTGGGACAGATCCCAGGACAGGAGGCTGGGATTGGGGGGCGGGTGGCTAAAGCCTCAGGAAGTCGCGTCACGGGAGGCAGGGAGGCAGAGGAGGCTCGCGGGGGCTGGAGGCCTCGAAGGAAGTGTCCTGGGGGGTCTCTTGGCTCATTTCCGTCTTCCTTCGGACGTGAACGTGTTGACAAGCAAGGCGAGGACAGGAATGGTTTGGAACCATTTGCTTTGGGTTCAGGTGGAGGAGCTGCCGTCGGGGTGAGCCTGGGGGTGGGGGCCCGGCTGGGAGCCCGGGAGGCCTGGCATCTCCACAGTGGAGGCCGCTCCCAGGAGGTCCCTCTGCAGGCCGTGTCATCTCAGTTTTCCCTTGTCAGGAGGGTGGACGGTCCCCCAGCTCGGAGACCACTTGCTGGTCCTCATCCTCCCACCCCCCCTCCACCGCCCATCTCCCCTCCATAGACCTCCACCGACAGCCTCCGTGCGCCAGGCGCGTGCCCCGTGGAGGGGACACGGCTTGTGGCCTAAGGCTAAACGCTCTCCCAGCTCTTGGGACCCCTCCTAGCCCGAGGTCCCTCCCCACCCCCCCAGGGCTTCGCTGTGTGTGTGACGTGCGTGTACCTGCGCGCCTCGGCCCACAGCCTCCTTCCTAGCTGTTCCCTGCCTCTGCCGGGACGCCTCCCCTCAGGCCTCATCTCCAAGCACCCCGTGATTTCCCCGCACCATCCCTACCCGGCCTGATACACCCTTTCTCCCCATCCCTTCCGGTCCAAACCCTCTGCTCTTTCAAAATCCTGCCTCGAACCCCGTGTACCATGGTCGCCGCTCCGCGTGCTGGACTGCTCTGTCCACTGACGCCTCTGCTGCCAGGTCCCCTAGGACGTGGGGCCGGGTGAGGGTCCCATGGCCCCCAGGCGACCCCTTCCTCTGTACCTGTCCTCAGGGCCCCACGGCCAGCCTCGGGACATCGCTCCCAGGTGCCAGAGGACGGGCGGTTGCTGGGGCGGCCACCAAGCAGCAGGAATGGTGCATTTTCAGGGAGCCCACGGCCCGCGTCTGCCTAGATGCCACCAGGTGGGAGCCCAGGCCAGGAGCTGGCTCCAGGGCTCTGAATCCCACTGCAGCACCCAGCAGGGCTTCACCACTCCAAGGCTCGGTTTCCCTGACGTAAATGGGATAATAAACCCCTCATGGGGTAGCTGCGGCAGCTCCGTGTGCTAACCCGAGTGGAGAGCTTGGCACGTGCCTGCGACGTGTTCAATGTTCAACCGATGTCATCGACTACCAAAAGTGGGGCGTCAAGTAGAAGCTAGGGATCGACCTGTCCTCTCCTCCTCTGCACCCTCCTTCTGGGAGGGAGAGGACACCTGGGTCGGCACATCTCCATGCTGTGTCACCTGCTGTCGGACAAGGAGGGACCGATGTTCCCAGAGATCCCAGGCTTGGGAAATCTCTCCACTCAGACCATTTCTGACCACGGAAAATTTGCCATTTTATTATTATTATTATTATTAGAAATAATAATAATAATCGGCACTAACAGGCGCCTGCCAAGTACAAAGCTCAGTAGGAAGCACTTCTCAAACATTAGACCTGTTGCTATTGATCCACGATCAGTTACTGAGCACCTACCGGGTGCTGGGGGCGGGGGTGCCTCACACTATCCTGCCCTCAAAGATCTTAGTTTCTGGATCCATCCAAGTGCAGGGATCCCTGGGAAAAGCCTCTCATCAAGACATTAACAAGTCATTAACACCTTAGCGTGAATTAGTTAATCAGATACTGGCCATCGGGAATGGAACACCCCATGTTGTTGACGAGGATGATGATAGGAGGAGAAGGAGGAGAGTTCGGGGCCACCCACAGGAAGGGTGGGCCCAGGTAGGGCTCCCGGGGTGCCTGCGTTTTTTTGCTGGAGGAAAAAAGGAGGGACGGAGGGAAACCAGGACAGAGCCAGGGTTCAGCAAGGTTACGAAGGCCCTGCCCTAGCCTTAAGTAAGTTTCTGGGGAGACGCAGGGGCAGGGGGAGGCACAGTCCCCTGCTTTGGGACGCCTCTGGTGGTGGCAGCAGAGACAGGAGACAGTTGCCCTCATCCCCTCCCCAGCTTCATCTTCCCCTCACGTCCTTTGAGCTCCCGGGATCACTTGGTCTTCTAACTGGGAATTAGATGGTGAGCCAGGCTCGGACATCTCCTCGCCCCAGTTTCACCCATCTGCGAAATGGTGGGGAAGTGCATCAATCAGAGAATCAAACCCCCGAGTTACCAGGACCCTCTAGCTTTCCTTACACACTCAAGGAAAAGTTTAAATTGCTTCTTGCATGAATTACATTTGTATGGCTCTTGGTTGCTTTTTTTTTTTTTAAGGATTTTATTTATTTATTCACAAGAGATGCAGAGAGAGAGAGAGGAGAGACGCAGGCAGAGGGAGGAGCAGGCTCCATGCAGGGAGCCCGACGCGGGACTCGATCCCGAGACCCCGGGGTCACGCCCTGAGCCGAAGGCAGACGCTCAACCGCTGAGCCCCCCAGGCGTCCCATTGCTCTTGGTTTTATAGCCAAAATATTGTTATTTAATTTATGCAAATAATTTGTAGCTTTTTGGATGTTTTTGCTTCTACATTTGTGATGATCCGTTGGACATGCTTGTCGCGACTCCGTGGTCCCAGTGGAGACGGTTGGCTCCTTACTCTCAGCCTTCTGGGGTCTGATAAACCTCCAGAGAAGGCCTCAGAGGGAGAGTGGCCTAGTACAACCCAAGAGGGTAATTGCTGGGTGAGAGAAAAAGAGAAGACGCAGAGGAGAAGGGAATCTGGATCCACGAGGGCTGCCTGGAGGAGGAGGTCTGGGCTCCAGTCTGTTCAGGGAAAAAGGCTTGGGTGGACCAGCAACGGGGAATGACAAAAGCAGCCAGGAAGGGCACGGGTGAGAAAGGCCTCTCTAGCTGGACCAAGCGCTAGGAAAGGGCCACCATGGGGGACGGCTCCTGGAGCCCAAGCTGTGTATGTTCTAGGATGTTATAGGGTGAGTGACAGGGAGTCCTTGAGGGCTCTGGAGCCAAATAGAACCCGAGCGATACAGCTTGGGAAAGCAGGATGTGGCTGCTGTGTGGGTAGGAGTGGGGGGTGCGGAGGGGCTGGAGGCACCAAGAGAGGCAGGTGGTGCTCGGAGCAAATAATTGTCTCCAAAATTAGACAAGATGAGCTGGGTTATTTGGATGACGTCAGCTCAGATCCTGCCAGCCCTCCTCGGCGGGTGGACTCAGGAAGGGAGCGGACGCCTGTGGACCCTCCACAGGTCTCCCTCCTCCTCCCGCCCCTGTGCCCCCCCGCCCCCCCACAGCTTCAGGCACGTGGGGCACTGAGCGCCCAGCCAGCTGGATGGAGTGCGGTCCCTGGGGGGACTTGGCCGCAAGCAGAGCCACTCATCTGGGGGCAGGACAGCTGTTCAGCAGGTTTGCAGCTGGCAAGGCTGGAGGTGAGCTCATCCCAGAGGGGCTGGGATATAAAGGACAGAGGAGGCCCGTCCTGCATGGCGCTGAGCCCCGTTCCCCGCTGCAGCGTGGCTGCCCGAGCGGCTTCCTCCTCACTCAGCTCTGGGGCCGGGAGCATCTCCTTTGAGCTTTGCTGGCCCTCTCCTTCCCCCAGCCCCACCGCGCGCTTCTGGCCAAGCGTGTGGATCCAGGAGTCTGAGGGCCCGGGTCTGGGTCCTGCCGGGTGACTGCAGGCAGGTGTCCCAGCTTGCACATCTCTAAAACGGGGGATGCTCCTAGCTGCTGCACCTCCTCCCGGAGGCGGATGGGAGAAGCACGTAAATGATGATGATGACGGTGGCGCTGCTGCTGCTACCTACAACTACCGCGTCCTGGAGCTCGGCCAGGCGCTGCTCGAAGCACTGCCTGTGTATGGACTCATTTAGTCCTCACAACAGCCCTGAGAGGCAGGTACTGTGATTACCCCACTTTACAGATGAAGATACCGAGGCAGCAGGGCGTTAGGTGACTCAGTGGGGGTCACATGAGCAGAGGAGCCGGGGCTCAATGCAAAGAAGCCTCCCCAGAGCCCTTCCCAATCTCCACACCCTCCCCGTCAGGGCCGGCCGCACCTCCGCGCCTTGTTGCCCAGGTGCTGGGTGCATCCTTCCAAAATGACCCAAGAGGTCCCTCCGAGGCCGGGCAATGCTTCTTGCCCCCGCGGCCCCGGGCTCCCGGGCTTGTGCCAGCTGGCAGATGTGCTCCAGCGCGTGTCAGACGACGTGTGTGGGTGCACATCCGTGTGCAGGTGGTCGTGAACAGGGGCATGAGCAGGATGGGTGTCCAGCCAGTAGGC